TACTCCATTACAGTATAAAGTACTCCATTATAGTGTAAAGTACTTTATTACAGTACAAAGTACTCCATTATAGTATAAAGTACTCTATTACAGTATAAAGTACTCTATTACAGTGTTAAGTACTCATTACAGTATAAAGTACTTCATTATAATATACAATACTGCACTACAATATACAGTACTCCATTATAGTATAAAGTACTCTATTACAGTAGAAAGTACTCCATTATAGTGTAAAGTACTTTATAGCAGTATAAAGTACTCTATTACAGTGTAAAGTGCTCCATTACAGTATAAAGTACTCCATTATAGTATAAAGTAATCTATTACAGTATAAAGTACTCTATTACAGTATAAAGTCCTTTATTACAGTATAAAGAACTCTTTTACAGTATAAAGTATTCCATTACAGTATAAAGTCCTCTATTACAGTATAAAGTACTCTATTACAGTATAAAGTACTTCATTATAATATAAAGTACTCTATAGCAGTATAAAGTACTCTATTACAGTATAAAGTACTCTATAACGGTATAAAGTACTCTATTACAGTATAAGGTACTTCATTACAGTATAAAGTACTCCATTACAGTATAAAGTACTCCATTACAGTGTAAAGTACTCTATTACAGTATAAAGTACTTCATTACAATATTAACTACTCCATTACAATATACAATACTGCACTACAATATACGGTACTATATTACAGTATAAAATACTCCATTACAGTATAAAGTACTCTATTACAGTGTAAAGTACTCCATTACAGTATAAAGTATTTCATTACAATAATAAGTACTCCATTATAGTGTAAAGTACTCATTACAGTATAAAATACTCCATTACAGTATAAAGTACTCTATTACAGTGTAAAGTACTCCATTACAGTATAAAGTACTTCATTACAATATTAAGTACTCCATTATAGTGTAAAGTACTTTATTACAGTACAAAGTACTCCATTATAGTATATAGTACTCTATTACAGTATAAAGTACTCTATTACAGTATAAAGTACTTCATTATAATATACAATACTGCACTACAATATACAGTACTCCATTATAGTATAAAGTACTCTATTACAGTAGAAAGTACTCCATTATAGTGTAAAGTACTTTATAGCAGTATAAAGTACTCTATTACAGTGTAAAGTGCTCCATTACAGTATAAAGTACTCCATTATAGTATAAAGTAATCTATTACAGTATAAAGTACTCTATTACAGTATAAAGTCCTTTATTACAGTATAAAGAACTCTTTTACAGTATAAAGTATTCCATTACAGTATAAAGTACTCTATTACAGTATAAAGTACTCTATTACAGTATAAAGTACTTCATTATAATATAAAGTACTCTATAGCAGTATAAAGTACTCCATTACAGTATAAAGTCCTTTATTACAGTGTAAAGTACTCTATTACAGTATAAAGTATTCCATTATAGTATAAAGTACTCTATAGCAGTATAAAGTACTCCATTACAGTATTAAGTACTTTATTACAGTATAAAGTACTCTATAGCAGTATAAAGTACTCCAATACAGTATAAAGTACATCATAACAATATTAAGTACTTCATTACAATATTAAGTACTCCATTATAGTGTAAAGTACTTCATTACAATATTTAGTACTCCATTACAATATTAAGTACTTCATTACAATATGAAGTACTCCATTACAATATACAATACTGCACTACAATATACGGTACTATATTACAGTATAAAATACTCCATTACAGTATAAAGTACTCTATTACAGTGTAAAGTACTCCATTACAGTATAAAGTATTTCATTACAATATTAAGTACTCCATTATAGTGTAAAGTACTCATTACAGTATAAAATACTCCATTACAGTATAAAGTACTCTATTACAGTGTAAAGTACTCCATTACAGTATAAAGTACTTCATTACAATATTAAGTACTCCATTATAGTGTAAAGTACTTTATTACAGTACAAAGTACTCCATTATAGTATATAGTACTCTATTACAGTATAAAGTACTCTATTACAGTGTAAAGTACTCATTACAGTATAAAGTACTCATTACAGTATAAAGTACTCTATTACAGTATAAAGTACTCTATTACAGTATAAAGTACTTCATTATAATATACAATACTGCACTACAATATACAGTACTCCATTATAGTATAAAGTACTCTATTACAGTAGAAAGTACTCCATTATAGTGTAAAGTACTTTATAGCAGTATAAAGTACTCTATTACAGTGTAAAGTGCTCCATTACAGTATAAAGTACTCCATTATAGTATAAAGTAATCTATTACAGTATAAAGTACTCTATTACAGTATAAAGTCCTTTATTACAGTATAAAGAACTCTTTTACAGTATAAAGTATTCCATTACAGTATAAAGTCCTCTATTACAGTATAAAGTACTCTATTACAGTATAAAGTACTTCATTATAATATAAAGTACTCTATAGCAGTATAAAGTACTCCATTACAGTATAAAGTCCTTTATTACAGTGTAAAGTACTCTATTACAGTATAAAGTATTCTATTATAGTATAAAGTACTCTATAGCAGTATAAAGTACTCCATTACAGTATAAAGTACTTTATTACAGTATAAAGTACTCTATAGCAGTATAAAGTACTCCAATACAGTATAAAGTACATCATAACAATATTAAGTACTTCATTACAATATTAAGTACTCCATTATAGTGTAAAGTACTTCATTACAATATTTAGTACTCCATTACAATATTAAGTACTTCATTACAATATGAAGTACTCCATTACAATATACAATACTGCACTACAATATACGGTACTATATTACAGTATAAAATACTCCATTACAGTATAAAGTACTCTATTACAGTGTAAAGTACTCCATTACAGTATAAAGTATTTCATTACAATATTAAGTACTCCATTATAGTGTAACGTACTCATTACAGTATAAAATACTCCATTACAGTATAAAGTACTCTATTACAGTGTAAAGTACTCCATTACAGTATAAAGTACTCTATTACAGTATAAAGTACTTCATTATAGTATAAAGTACTCCATTACAGTATAAAGTACTTCATTACAATATTAAGTACTCCATTATAGTGTAAAGTACTTTATTACAGTACAAAGTACTCCATTATAGTATATAGTACTCTATTACAGTATAAAGTACTCTATTACAGTGTAAAGTACTCATTACAGTATAAAGTACTCATTACAGTATAAAGTACTCTATTACAGTATAAAGTACTCTATTACAGTATAAAGTACTTCATTATAATATACAATACTGCACTACAATATACAGTACTCCATTATAGTATAAAGTACTCTATTACAGTAGAAAGTACTCCATTATAGTGTAAAGTACTTTATAGCAGTATAAAGTACTCTATTACAGTGTAAAGTGCTCCATTACAGTATAAAGTACTCCATTATAGTATAAAGTAATCTATTACAGTATAAAGTACTCTATTACAGTATAAAGTCCTTTATTACAGTATAAAGAACTCTTTTACAGTATAAAGTACTTCATTATAATATAAAGTACTCTATAGCAGTATAAAGTACTCCATTACAGTATAAAGTACTCTATAGCAGTATAAAGTACTCCAATACAGTATAAAGTATACAGTATAACAATATTAAGTACTTCATTACAATATTAAGTACTCCATTATAGTGTAAAGTACTCATTACAGAATAAAGTACTCTAATACAGTATACAGTACTTCATTATAGTATAAAGTACTTAATTACAGTATAAACTACTCCATTATAGTATAAAGTACTTCATTACAATATTTAGTACTCCATTACAATATTAAGTACTTCATTACAATATGAAGTACTCCATTACAATATACAATATTGCTCTACAATATACGGTACTCTATTACAGTATAAAGTACTCCATTACAGTATAAAGTACTCTATTACAGTATACAGTACTCCATTACAGTATAAAGTACTCCATTATAGTATAAAGTACTTCATTACAATATACAATACTGCACTACAATATAAAGTACTCCATTACAGTATAAAGTGCTCCATTACAGTATAAAGTACTCCATTACAGTATAAAGTACTGTATTACAGTGTAAAGTACTGTTATTACAGTGTAAAGTACTGTTATTACAGTATAAAGTACTTCATTACAATATAAAGTACTTCATTACAGTATAAAGTACTTCATTACAATAATAAGTACTGCACTACAGTGTAAAGTACTCTATTACAGTGTAAAGTACTCTATTACAGTATACAGTACTTCATTACAGTATAAAGTACTTCATTATAATATACAATACTGCACTACAATATACAGTACTCCATTATAGTAAAAAGTACTCTATTACAGTACAAAGTACTCCATTACAGTATAAAGTACTTCATTACAGTATAAAGTACTCTATTACAGTATAAAGTAGTTCATTACAATATTAAGTACTCCATTACAGTATAAAGTAATCTATTACAGTATAAAGTACTCCACTACAGTATAGGGTAATCTATTACAGTAACAGACTTTATTAATAATTATTATTATAAATTAGTTTTTTAAAGTTTTTGTGTTGAAATAAAATAAAATAAAAACTTTATTTTGAAAATCTCTCACTATTAAACACAGTTTCATATTTAACTGTTAAACAATGAACTTTATTGTGAAAGGCCTTACTTATTGGTTATTGATAATATATTATTAGTTATTGATAATATGTTGTTGGTTATTGATAATATATTATTAGTTATTGATAATATATTATTGATTATTGATAATATATTATTAGTTATTGATAATATATTATTGGTTATTGATAATATATTATTGGTTATTGATATTATATTATTGGTTATTGATAATATATTATTAGTATGATTATTGATTATCAGGAAGATCTCCAGCTGTCAGCAGCAGTCTGTCTCTACCTGGTTACTGATGACATCATATGATCTCTGCTCTCTGATTGGCTGTTAGAGAGTCTCTGTCAGTCCTCAGACCAGTTCACAGTCTCAGACGGGTTCAGGTCTACAGAGAGTCAGACGGGTTCAGGTCTACAGAGAGTCAGACGGGTTCAGAGAGTCAGACGGGTTCAGGTCTACAGAGAGTCAGACGGGTTCAGAGAGTCAGACGGGTTCAGGTCTACAGAGAGTCAGACGGGTTCAGGTCTACAGAGAGTCAGACGGGTTCAGGACTACAGAGAGTCAGACGGGTTCAGGACTACAGAGAGTCAGACGGGTTCAGAGAGTCAGACGGGTTCAGGTCTACAGAGAGTCAGACGGGTTCAGGTCTACAGAGAGTCAGACGGGTTCAGGACTACAGAGAGTCAGACGGGTTCAGGACTACAGAGAGTCAGACGGGTTCAGAGAGTCAGACGGGTTCAGGACTACAGAGAGTCAGACGGGTTCAGGTCTACAGAGAGTCAGACGGGTTCAGGTCTACAGAGAGTCAGACGGGTTCAGGTCTACAGAGAGCTGATGATGATGATGAAGATGATGGTTCTGGTTCTCTGGTTCTCCTGTGTGTCTGCTGACGGTAAGTTTCTGACAGACAGACAGTAACAGACAGACAGTAACAGACAGTAACAGACAGACAGACAGTAACAGACAGACAGACAGTAACAGACAGACAGACAGTAACAGACAGACAGTAACAGACAGACAGTAACAGACAGACAGACAGACAGTAACAGACAGACAGTAACAGACAGACAGTAACAGACAGACAGACAGACAGTAACAGACAGACAGACAGACAGTAACAGACAGACAGTAACAGACAGACAGACAGACAGTAACAGACAGACAGACAGACAGTAACAAACAATCAATCAATCAATGTTCTGTTTCTATCTTCAGTTCTTCATGAGGACATTGCTATCCATGGCTGTTCAGACTCTGATGGAGAGGAGATGTACTCTCTGGATGGTGAAGAGATTTGGTACGCAGACTTCATCAACAAGAAAGGAGTGGAGCCTCAACCCAACTTCATAGATCATATTAGCTACCCTGACCCTGGAGCTTATCAAACTGCTGAGGCTGATCAACAGATCTGCAGACAGAACCTGGAAGTAGAACGTAAAGCCTACAAGGACCTTCCACTGACGTTAGGTAAAGACAAACTTTATTATTCTGTCTGTAAATATTGAATCAGTCAGTAATAATATAACTCATTACTGTAGAATACATTGATATATATATTTATATTTATATATATATATATTTATATATTGTAGATGTGGACCACTTTAAGGGTTATAATCTTTATTATGTTAGCATGCTAGCATTAGCTGGGGCTGATGGGAGTGTCTGTAGTCCTGCACTTGAAATATCAGCCTGATGATGGCGCTACAGGACCCTCAGAGGATCAATAACATTATTCAGTGGGGGGGTAGAGACAGAAGACAAAGGTGAACAGCAGCAACTATACTAATAGAAATGACTGATGATGATGATGATGAAGATGATGAACAGCCACATTGATGGGGAATAATAATGATAATCTCAGTTATTATCCTGTTCTTCTGTTCTTCTGGGGGTTTTGGTTGCTCAGATATTGCTTGATATAATCTGATATAATCTGATATATTTATTCTGATATATTCTGATATATTTATTCTGATATATTCTGACATAATCTGATATAATCTGATATAATCTGATATATTTATTCTGATATATTCTGATGTGAAGTTAATTATTTTGGGCTGTCACTCTTTAGTGATGATGGCAAGAACAGCATTATGCTTTTTAAACTGAATTATTGATGATTAATGCTCAAATCATACATCAATAGTAAGTTTACACATAATCTAAAAATAGAAATGCTAAGTCAGCACATTGCAGTCCGTCCTGGAAGTTGCAATGGCAGAAATTAATGCAAATGTAACTGATCCCTCAGTGGAATAAGTTGCCTTCAGTTCTTAATGAATTATCTTATTAACAACATCTCAACATCAACATTTTCTAGACAGACAGGGATTTTGGGAGGCAGATCTTGTCAGTACTTTACAGACCATATAACATTTCACAGATCAGGGCTCCTGGTGAGCTCAGTGAGTAGAGCTGGCGACCCACGTACGGAGGCTGAGTCTTTGCTGCAGCGGCCAGGGTTCAAATCCGACCTGCGGCCCTTTGCTGTCTGTCTTCAGCTGTCATTATAATAAAAGCCTGAAAAAATAATAATTTCACAGATCATGTTTTAAGGAGAGCTCGTGTTATTAAGAGGAGCTGAGCTCGCCTCATGCTCACTACAGGAGAGAGATTGGAAAGAAGGAAATGGATGGGTACAAACCTTTTAAAGCGAAATGAGGAACAAACAGATTCTTGTAGGACCCAAAGCAGAGAAAGAAGAACTGCACTCAGTGCTTGGTGACAGATTATATCTAGTGTCACAAGTAGTGATCTGATACATCGGCCGATGCGGGCTGCTGCGTTCACCGATCCAGCATTATTTACAGACAGGCGTCCACAGGCAGCTCCGTGTTGCTGCAGACGCTGCAGTGCAGGTACAGACCATGCACAGCCCCTCCCCCCACTAGGAGAGTGCTGGAAGTCTGCTCTTCAACACTTTCAAAGCATCTTTGAACTGTTTAACTTAGCTGAAATATTGCCATACACTGAAAGTGGAAACACGAATGCCAACTGCATGCTCTGTATGTGCTATAGCTAAACAAGTCTATAAAACTGCTTGCCATTGTGGCTGTATGTATTCATACGGTAGCTGTTGTGAACACTGGTCATAGGATGAAGTAATGCCGACGTTGTTCCGTGGTTCCCTGGTGTTGTAGCAGTTTTATTTAGCGACCACCTGGCTGGAGGTTTGGACACGTGTGTGTGTGTGTGTGTGTGTGTGTTTCTCTCTCCCTCGTGTTATCATGTACCAGACAGTGCACCGTGATGGCCTTACTAGTGTTTAGAGCCGTTTGCACACGTTAGCATTAGCAATCCAGTTTTTCAGTCAGCGTCAGCTACCAAACTGAAGTGTGTGTGTGTGTGTGTGTGTGTGTGTGTGTGTGTGTGTGCCGACTGAAGGATATTTTATGTATCTACCTCACCTGTTTTTAATATTTGTTAAATATTGTTTACTTGTTCTTGTTCTACCTCACCTTTTTTAATTTCAATAAATGTTCCTTTTTTTTAAATTGAGACTCGTAACATTTGTTATCATCATTGTGTAATTTCTATGATGTAAGTTGAGGGAGCAAAAGTAGTATCGGCTCCAAATATCGGGTCAAGAAAATCGGCAGTCTGTATCGGTCATCAGCTAGGGCTGATTAAAAAAAAATCGGTATCGGCATCGGCCTTAAAAAATCCATATCGGTAGATCCCTAGTCACAAGGTCATAGATTTATAGTTTAACTCTAACTTTAGAAAGGTCATTAAATCATGTTTCATCTCAGGAATATTACAAGTCAGACATTTTTACATTTTTAAGTCAGAGAGATACTGAAATACTCATTCATGCTTCAGAAAGCTACAGCTAGTTCAGAGTCTGAAGTAAAACTAGGAAACTGGATCACATCCACTGCTGCAGACACTGTACTGGCTGCCTGTATCATGTTCCAGCCAGATCACTGAAGTCCTGTTTTTATTTTAAATGTTGCTTATGTGACAAATAAAAGCCTCTGGATGTTAGAATGGTGAGCGCTCTGGATATATTATAAAGGATATTAAAGACTTGTTTTTATATAGTCTGGCTTTTATTGATGAGTAATGTTACAGCTTTAGTTTTAATCAATGGTTTTTATTTTTGTCCCTGGTATTTATATTAGTGTTTGTTTTTGTTTTTTATCTGTGTTATTTCAGAATAGTTGTACATGGTCTGCACAGTAAATAGTTTGTTTAGCTGTCATTCTTTATCTGTATATACTGTACAGCCTGGATGCTGTCTGATGAAATCCTCATGTTGCACAAATGAAAGACATTTTTTCAGGAGTTTGGGAAGTTTCAACTTATTTTATTTTAACTCTCCTTTTACTTTGGTGTGTTGAAACAGTCTTATTATGAATTTAGACATGGAAAACACAGAAACTACTCATTTGTACAGAACCAGATATTACATTTACTGTTTCAATAAATCTTCATTTAAGTCGTCAATTACTTTAATTAACAAATAACAAATACTGATGACACTAATTATAACATTAAACCTTAATATGATCTCTGTTTCTGTACAGATCCTCCTTCCAGTCCGATGATCTACACCAGAGACAACGTGGAGCTCGGAGAGAAGAACACCCTCATCTGTCATGTGACTGGTTTCTATCCTGCTCCTGTAAAGGTCTACTGGACCAAGAACGGAAAGAACGTGACTGAAGGAACCAGCATCAATGTTCCCTACCTGAACAAAGACGGTTCCTTCACCCAGACGTCCAGACTGGAGTTCATCCCACAGCTGGGAGACATGTACAGCTGTTCAGTGAAACATCTGTCTCTGAAAGACCCACTGACCCGATTCTGGGGTGAGACAACTTTATTTAAATTCACTCAAAATACAAACAGACACTTTACTAACTGACCAAGGTACACATCTGTCTCCAGATGTGGAGGTGTAGCTGCAGTGTGTTAATGTTTCTGTCTCCAGATGTGGAGGTGTAACAGCAGTGTGTTAATGTTTCTGTCTCCAGATGTGGAGGTGTAACTGCAGTGTGTTAATGTTTCTGTCTCCAGATGTGGAGGTGTAACAGCAGTGTGTTAATGTTTCTGTCTCCAGATGTGGAGGTGTAGCTGCACTGTGTTAATGTTTCTGTCTCCAGATGTGGAGGTGTAACAGCAGTGTGTTAATGTTTCTGTCTCCAGATGTGGAGGTGTAGCTGCAGTGTTTTAATGTTTCTGTCTCCAGATGTGGAGGTGTAGCTGCTGTGTATTAATGTTTCTGTCTCCAGATGTGGAGGTGTAGCAGCAGTGCATTAATGTTTGTGTCTTTCTGTCTCCAGATGTGGAGAAGCCTGAACCCAGTATTGGACCTGCAGTGTGTTAATGTTTGTGTCTTTCTGTCTCCAGATGTGGAGAAGCCTGAACCCAGTATTGGACCTGCAGTGTGTTAATGTTTGTGTCTTTCTGTCTCCAGATGTGGAGAAGCCTGAACCCAGTATTGGACCTGCAGTGTTCTGTGGACTCGGTCTGACTGTCGGTCTGCTCGGTGTCGCTGCTGGAACCTTCTTCCTCATCAAAGGAAACGAGTGCAGCTGATTGGTTGGGGCTGATGATGTCATATAAGGGGCTTTTTCTAAGGATCGGGTTTTCTGAGTTTTCTGGATCACATCTGTATTTTCTGATAACGTCAGTGTCAGCAGCTGTTCTGTGATCAGTTCTGTTCAGATTGAAATTGATTGATCAGGAGGTTACAGACTTTATTGATCAGTAGTCTGATGGATGATGAGTTCACTGTCAGTAGAAACACACAGTAATCAATGAGTTTAATGTCCAACATCAATAATAATAGATCAATAAGTGTGATCTGAAAGCAGGGACAGCCACATTCAGTCAACCTGCTTCGTGTCCAGGCCTCAGGTCTTTAACATATAGTCTTTGCTGTATATTGATTGATTGATTGATCAATAGTGAGTGCTCACATACGTTGATTTACTAACTGCTGTTTGATGATTCACTGCACAGCTTCTGTCCAATAATCACTTTAATCTTCTTTATCTGCCACTGTCTAATGTGATCAATAACCTGATGGAGAATCAATCATTGTAGGAATTTACTGTAATAAAGGAATAAACATGAATGTGTCCTGTTGTTGATTATTGATTATTGATTAGCTGACTGAGATCAACCACAGTCAGTTTATATCCATGTACAACTACAGAAACACTACAGAGCCTGTGAGGAGGATTCATCCAACCTTTGAACTGTAATCAATGATCTTTATATGATAATCATATTAAAGGGGACATATTAACCCTAACCCAGACACTGGAGAAATAAACTCAGTCCTTTTATTGTGGCTGCTGATGTCAGAAGACCTGAACTCCAACAGCCGTTCAGATTCTGTTCCCCTTCCTACGTCAGAAACCAGTTCATTAACAGAGCGCCACCTCCCCTCTGAATAACCACCTCCCCTCTGACCAACCCCCTCCCCTCTGACTAACCACCTCCCCTCTGACTAACCCCCTCCCACAGAGAGTTTCCTTTGCTGCTGTCCACCATGTTTGTCCTGTCTGTAGACAGGCTGAAAGTGCTGCAGCTGTCCTGATGTTCACAAAGTCTGCATGTCCTCCCATCATCAGAGGAAGATAAAACCAGCAGGTTGTCTTTGTTTCTGATAGAAATAGGTTGTGAGTATGGAGCCAAACTGCCTAATACAACCTTTCTGATCCACACCGTTAGTGTTACAGCAGAACTCGTATTACTGAGGATGTGAGTTCCGTTCCTTCCTCTTCCTCATATCGTCTCCTATTATAAACAACACTGAGGCTCACTGTTAAATGTCTGTTAGTGCAGCAGGAACCTGTACTGTATTTATGAGCCTTTGGTTTATTACAACATCAGTTACAGTCAGTAAATGTCTGTGTAATCTGTTTCTTCATCAGTAACTGATTAAATAAATGACCTGTTATCATTATAGCACTGTGTGTAGCTGCTGCCATTAGCTACACATTAGAGATAGAGTTGGTAACCTCAGACTGGAACCACCAGAGACACTGCTTTATTATTTTACTTTATAACTGAGGACTACTGTGAGCCACAATGAGCTGTTGTACTGTATTATATTATATTATACTGTATATTATATTATACTGTATTATATTACACTGTATAATATATTACACTGTATTATATTATATTACACTGTATATTATATTACACTATATTATATTACACTGTATATTATATTACACTATATTATATTATACTGTATATTATATTATACTATATTATATTACACTGTATTATATTATACTGTATATTATATTACACTATATTATATTATACTGTATATTATATTATACTGTATTATATTATACTATATTATATTACACTGTATATTATATTATACTGTATATTATATTATACTATATTATATTATACTGTATTATATTATACTGTATTATATTATAATGTATTATATTATACTGTATATTATATTACACTGTATTATATTATACTGTATTATATTATACTGTATATTATATTACACTGTATATTATATTATACTGTATTATATTATATTATACTGTAATATATTATACTGTATATTATATGTACAAGTAACACTGAATCTTCCATGTTTTACAGGTGACCTGATGAAGCTCAGGTGTTCCTGGACCCATCAGAGGACAGAGACAGCTGCAGCATCAGGACAGTCTGGGTATCCAAAGGAAGACTGATGAAGATGAACACTGACTGCAGAGCTCCATTACCAGCTCACACTTCAATATACTAGAAACCATAAACCTTGATGGAGGACATGATCTGCACAGTTTACATAAAAGTTCTAGCTTTGTTACTTACAACATGTGGAACTGGAATATGAATGAAATATAAATAAAGTGTTTTACTTTTAAATTCAGTAATAAGTGTGGTTTTAGATCAATAACATGTTATTTCACAGAGGTTTTAGTTGAAAACCTGCTCCATGTAACATCTATCAATATGAACATGTGAAATACTTTAGCTAGTAATCCTGTAGTAAATTACCGTAAGCAACAACACATTTCTGTTTTAGTCAGACTTTATTATGATGTTGGCGGATAAATGACATAATGATATATAATCTAATGATACAATATTCAGTATATTTATAGTATTATGAAAGGGGTTCAAACATAATTGCAGCTTTTACAAATATCTGAAGGTGAACTTTGGTAATAATACTTAGTTAAAATATCAGACTATGAAATATGGATACAGTACCGTTAACAGTTGGTTACTGAGCAGTTTTTAAACCACATAAACAATTGACTTTGTTAGATGAGTGATTCCTTCAGTTATGTTGGCATGTTGTACAGGATAAAGTATTCCAGGTTTCTGTTTCCATGGTCTCAGTAAACTAATGTGTATAAAGAATATAACAGATGGGAGGTTACAGTAATCATTATACTATTACTCTGATTACTTTGGTACAGTTACTGGCTGTTTCTTCACTAGAAACAACTGCTTGACTAATGTTGTTAATATTATGTAATATATAATATGTTTAACTTCACTGGGCTGTGTAGACTGTAGGTCACTGCTCACTGCTGTACCTGGAAAGACATAAAACACAGTGTTGGTTCTCATAGTTAAGGTAGAAACACTAACATTATGTGATAGATAGAGGTTAATATATATATATATATATATATATATATATATATATTTAGTTATATGTATGTATATGTAATTAATATAGCAGTATTTACCTGAGGAACTCGTCACAGAAAGCTGTAATCCTGATTGTTGTTGTTGATTTCAGGTCAGACTCCCGCTCTAACATGTCCGCTGATGAAGTTTTTGCTTTAGAAGCAGTTATTGAATTAATATTGACGGTAGAAATGCAGATAAACTCAGTAACAGAGAGGAGCTAACCATATAACCTGCAGTGTAATGATATTAATCCAGAATATAACCTGCAGTGTAATGATATTAATCCAGAATAAACACATATAAACTGCAGTGTAATGATATTAATCCAGAATAAACACTGCAGTGTAATGATATTAATCCAGAATAAACACATATAAACTGCAGTGTAATGATATTAATCCAGAATAAACACATATAACCTGCAGTGTAATGATATTAATCCAGAATAAACACATATAACCTGCAGTGTAATGATATTAATCCAGAATAAACACATATAAACTGCAGTGTAATGATATTAATCCAGAATAAACACATATAAAGTGCAGTGTAATGATATTAATCCAGAATAAACACATATAAACTTCAGTGTAATGATATTAATCCAGAATAAACACATATAAACTGCAGTGTAATGATATTAATCCAGAATAAACACATATAAACTGCACTGTGTAATGATATTAATCCAGAATAAACACATATAAACTGCACTGTGTAATGATATTAATCCAGAATAAACACATATAACCTGCAGTGTAATGATATTAATCCAGAATAAACACATACAACCTGCAGTGTAATGATATTAATCCAGAATAAACACATATAAACTGCACTGTGTAATGATATTAATCCAGAATAAACACATATAAACTGCAGTGTAATGATATTAATCCAGAATAAACACATATAACCTGCAGTGTAATGATATTAATCCAGAATAAACACATATAAACTGCAGTGTAATGATATTAATCCAGAATAAACACATATAACCTGCAGTGTAATGATATTAATCCAGAATAAACACATATAAACTGCAGTGTAGAGTGAACTGTGTCTGCTGGACTTTGTGCTGAACAGTCTGCCTGGTAACAGCTGACGAGCAGGTCATGTGATGTGTTCTCTGCTTTTTAGAGCCGCTCTCAGTCAGACTGTGTCAGTGTTTGTGAAGTGAACAGAGGAACATGGCTTCATCCTTTCTCAGCTTCTCCCTCCTCTTCATCATCAGCCTCTACACAGCAGGTAGGATCAATACACTGATCACTGATCAATACACACTGATTAACTTTATCAGCCTCTACACAGCAGGTAGGATCAATACACTGATCACTGATCAATACACACTGATTATACTTTATCAGCCTCTACACAGCAGGTAGGATCAATACACTGATCACTGATCAATATACACTAATTAACTTTATCAGCCTCTACACAGCAGGTAGGATCAATACACTGATCACTGATGAATACACTGATCAGTTGTTACTGTAGTTGTTAACTTGATTCACTGTTTTTGTTCTGCAGATGGATTTCTGAATTATATGACAACTCGCTGTGATTTTAACTCCACTGATCTGAAGAACATCGAGTACATCAGGTCGTACTATTACAACAAGTTGGAGCTCCTCAGGTTCAGCAGCAGTGTGGGAGAGTATGTTGGTTACACTGAGTTGGGAGTGAAGAACGCTGAACGCTTTAACAAAGATCCTTCAAAACTGGCTCAGATGAGAGGTGAGAAGGAGAGGTACTGCCTGACCAACGTTAACGCTGACTACCAAGGTGCTCTGGATAAATCAGGTGAGTTTGTGTTTGTGTAACATCAACAGCATCTTATTGATTAACTCTTTATATTGATCACTTCTTTATTGACTCTGCTAACAGGAAGTGATCACTGTCTCATTATACAATCAAATACTGTAAATATTGATCAGATATTACTTTATTGATTAAGGATTATAATATTGATCAGTACTATTACTGACACTATATTACTTATTGATAAAGTATTATTGATCAGTTAACAATCACTCAGCTCGTGTCTCCACCTGCTGGTTAAAGTCTGTTACTACAACTGTTGATTTAAAGAGAAATAAACCTTTATTGATTATATTCATTGATTATATTCATTGATTATATTCATTGATTTTATGTATCAGACCTTCTATTCCATACTGATACTAATATTAATAATAATAACATTAATAATATAATAATGATCCTAACGTCTGTGTTCCAGTTAAGCCCTATGTCAGACTGCACTCGGTGGCGCCCCCTGCTGGTAAACATCCCTCCATGTTGGTCTGCAGCGTCTACGACTTCTTCCCCAAACACATCAGAGTGAGCTGGCTCAGAGACGGACAGGAAGTCACCTCTGATGTCACTTCCACTGATGAGCTGGCAGACGCTGATTGGTTCTACCAGATCCACTCTCACCTGGAGTACACGCCCAGGTCAGTACAGAACCAGAACCAGGTCCACTCTCACCTGGAGTACACGCCCAGGTCAGTACAGAACCAGAACCAGGTCCACTCTCACCTGGAGTACACGCCCAGGTCAGTACAGAACCAGAACCAGAATCAGGTCCACTCTCACCTGGAGTACACGCCCAGGTCAGTACAGGACCAGAACCAGGTTCAGATAGTTCCAGATCCACTCTCACCTGGAGTACACGCCCAGGTCAGTACAGAACCAGAACCAGGTCCACTCAAACCTAGAGTACACGCCCAGGTCAGTACAGGACCAGAACCAGAACCAGGTCCACTCAAACCTGGAGTACACGCCCAGGTCAGTACAGAACCAGAACCAGATCCACTCTCACCTGGAGTACACGCCCAGGTCAGTACAGAACCAGAACCAGATCCACTCTCACCTGGAGTACACGCCCAGGTCAGTACAGAACCAGAACCAGGTCCAGTTAGGTCCAGGTCCACTCAAACCTGGAGTATACACCCAGGTCAGTACAGAACCAGAACCAGGTCCAGATCCACACTCACCTGGAGTACACGCCCAGGTCAATACAGATCCAGAACCAGGTCCAGATCCACTCAAACCTGGAGTACACGCCAGGTCAGTACAGAACCAGGTTCAGATAGGTCCAGATCCACTCTCACCTGGAGTACACACCCAGGTCAATACAGAACCAGAACCAGGTCCAGATCCACTCAAACCTGGAGTACACGCTCAGGTCAGTTCAGAACCAGAACCAGGTTCAGATAGGTCCAGATCCACTCTCACCTGGAGTACACACCCAGGTCAGTACAGAACCAGAACCAGGTTCAGAACCAGGTTCAGAACCAGGTTCAGAACCAGGTTCAGATAGGTCCAGATCCACTCTCACCTGGAGTACATGCCCAGGTCAGTACAGGACCAGAACCAGAACCAGGTCCACTCTCACCTGGAGTACACGCCCAGGTCAGTACAGAACCAAAACCAGGTCCAGTTAGGTCCAGGTCCACTCAAACCTGGAGTATACACCCAGGTCAGTACAGAACCAAAACCAGGTCCAGATCCACTCAAACCTGGAGTACACGCCCAGGTCAGTACAGAACCAGAACCAGGTACAGGTCCACTCTCAACTGGAGTACACGCCCAGGTCAGTACAGAACCAGAACCAGGTTTATATAGGTCCAGATCCACTCTCACCTGGAGTACACGCCCAGGTCAGTACAGAACCAGAACCAGAACCAGGTCCACTCAAACCTAGAGTACATGCCCAGGTCAGTACAGAACCAGAACCAGAACCAGGTCCAGGTCTACTCAAACCTGGAGTACAAACCCAGGTCAGTACAGAACCAGAACCACTCAAACCTGGAGTACACACCCAGGTCAGTACAGGACCAGAACCAGGTCCAGGTCCACTCTCACCTAGAGTACACACCCAGGTCAGTACAGGACCAGAACCAGGTTCAGATAGGTCCAGATCCACTCTCACCTAGAGTACACACCCAGGTCAGTACAGAACCAGAACCAGGTCCACTCAAACCTGGAGTACACACCCAGGTCAGTACAGAACAAGAACCAGGTCCAGATCCACTCTCACCTGGAGTACTGTCTACCTGTCTCTGGAGTACACGCCCAGGTAAGTACAGAACCAGAACTAGGTCCAGATAGGTCCGGTCCACTCTCACCTGGAGTACACGCCCAGGTCAGTACAGGACCAGAATCAGGTTCAGATAGGTTCAGATCCACTCTCACCTGGAGTACACGCCCAGGCCAGTACCGGACCAGAACCAGGTTTAGATAGGTTCGGATCCACTCTAACCTGGAGTATACGCCCAGGTCAGTACCGGACCAGAACAAGGTTCATATAGGTCCAGATCCACTCTCACCTGGAGTACACGCCCAGGTCAGTACAGGTCCAGGTTCAGGTCCGGTTAGGTCCAGGTTCAGGTCCAGACCCTCTGATTTGCTGTTTGTGTTGATTCAGGTCTGGAGAGAAGATCTCCTGTGTGGTGGAGCACGCCAGCCTGAGAGAACCTCTGGTTACTGACTGGGGTAAATACCTGTCTGTCTCTTTATCTGTCTACCTGTCTCTTTACCTGTCTTCCTGCTCACCTGTCTGTCTGCCTGTCTGTCCTCAGACCCCTCCATGCCCGAGTCTGAGAGAAACAAGATCGCCATCGGAGCCTCCGGACTGATCCTGGGTCTGATTTTGTCTCTGGCTGGATTCATCTACTACAAGAGGAAGGCCCGAGGTCAGACCAGTACCCAGACTGAAACCAGACCAGTACCCAGACCAGTACCCAGACTGAAACCAGAACAGTACCCAGACCAGGACCCAGACTGAAACCAGACCAGTACCCAGACTGAAACCAGAACAGTACCCAGACCAGCACCCAGACTGAAACCAGACCAGTACCCAGACCAGTTCAAGACTAAAACCCAACCAGTACCCAGACTGAAACCAGAACAGTACCCAACTATTAAACCAGTTTTAGTCCAGTCTCAGACCAGGTTTATCAGAGTCTCAGTCTGGTTTATCCTCATTAGTCCTTCAGAAACTGCTCAATGTGGTTGTCTCAGTGTACTTGTTTTGGATCAGTTTGGACCACCAGGGCCCTTTAGTCATCTTGTTCTTTAAACCAGAACCAGGAGTCTAATTCCCACTAACAGGCAGGATCCTGAACCCTGACCTCGTCTCAGACCAGTTTAAATGACGTGGTGTCTGTATTTGTTCTTGACTTTGTTCTCTTCTTTAATCCAGGAAGGATTCTGGTTCCCAGTAACTGATCCTGGTCCTGGTCCTGTCCTTGTCCTTGTCCTTGTCCATGTCCCTGTCCCTGTCCTTGTTCCTGTTCCTGGTCCTGGTCCTGGTCCTGGTCCTGCTTGCTGTGTTTGGAGCTCAGCAGACTGTCAGTGCTGCCCCCTGCTGGACCGTCTGAACACTGATTCTCTGATGATCTGGACTCTGATACTGAGCTGGTCTGAACCTGATCCAGGACAGTCCTGTTGGTGGTGAACCTTTATGAGGACGGTCCTGGATCAGGTTCAGTGTGGCTCTGGATCTGGACTCTGATGCTTTACTGTGTGAAATCAATATTCAGCTTTTTGAATCCAATATAATCTGGTGGTGTGAATGATTTTATTACCTGCAGTCAGAAACTCTGTGGATTATTGATCAGATATCAATCAACAGGAAGTGGAATGATCTATTGATTCTGTCTGAGAGCTCTGTCATTGATTATAAAGTTCATATTAAAGTTTTAAAGACATTTGTGTTTAAAGTTCATGAAGGTTTAACGTCACCGACAACCATTCAACTCAACTTTATGTGTACGTTGGTTCTGAACAGAAGGGTTAGGGTCAGTGAGAGAAGCTGCAGGTTCATATGGAACCGACTCATTATTGATTACCCACAGCTCTTAATATCATAGGCCTTCATATATATTATTGATAAACACAATACAGAAATAATAATGGTCACAATGTTCAAATATTAACAGTATATAGTCCTACCTGTAGTATTTATTATTAAAATAATAACAGTATATAGTCCTACCTGTAGTATTATTATTAAAATAATAACAGTATGTATTCCTACCTGTAGTATTTTATTAATTCATTTAATTATTTTATTAACTGATGACTGAACAGATCAGGAACCAGATTAATGAGTCCCTGCTGTTAGTCTGGAGCAGATTATCTGCATATAATAATAATATATTACCATAATAACAGACAGACTTAATGCAGAGTTATTAATGTTCATTATAGAGTCTGATCCAGCCTCTCAGTGGGGCCACAGCCGGTGTATTGTCCTCAGATTCAGTGTTTATCAATAAAGATCAATATTTCTATTATCCATCTGTTGAAACCAAACACTATATCTATATATAAACTATATATATATATATATAGTTTATATATATATATATATAAACCCCTGAAACCTGCTCTCTCCTCAACCTTTTAAACACATTAGCAGGAACCTGTGAGCTTTGTCATCATTTCAAACCAAATTTGTTCTTTTGTTTGTTTTTATTTGAACTGTATGTGAAGAGGTAGAAAACTATCAATCTTGATGGAGATTTTCCTCTTCATGTGGAGGGCCGGAGGGAGGAGGATGGAGGGCCAGAAATGGGCTGCAGGCCAGCAGTTTAACCCCCTGGTCTGTTCCCTCCATACTGATAATACAGACACAGTCTCATTATCTGATCATAGTTTGTGGTGAAGCTGAAGGTTTTAATGACCATTGTTTCCTCCTGTGAGTGCAGACGTTGTGATCAGTTTAACAATGATTGTACCGACTGGTCCTCGGTCCCAGTGGACAGACAACCAGCATCATGTGAGTCCTTCAGAGGGTTTTAGTCTCAGTGTGGAGCTGAAGAGGAGCTGCAGCAGTCAGTGAGGGTGAGCTGTAATTACTGTACACTTTATTATCACTGAGACTCTGTTTACCCACTGATGGTGCACACACACTGTTCTACCTGTGAGACCCCCCCACTAATAAAGTGATAAAGCACCAGTGTTAGACAGTAACTCATTACTAGTAATCAGATTACTTTCTACACTAACTAGTAGTGTAAGTAAGTACTAATACATCTCAGTAATAATATTACAGTTAACCAAAATAAATAGTTAGTAGTTCTTTAATCCAACAACCAATCACATCCTTGGATTCATGTTTGTAATCGTAGAGGAAAATACTCTATTACTTTGATTTTAACAAACCGAACTGGATTTTAATTTCTAAATTAAAAGTCTAAATTTGGGCAGAAAGGACACAATTATTCATTATTTTAGTAAAAGTAATATAACTAGTAGTAAAACATGTTAAGAGTAATAAGTAATGAGTAATAAATTACTTTTTCTGAGTAACTAGCCCAACACTGGCCACCACAAACCAGAGCAGCATCTAAAGAGAGTGATCAGTCCGACCAGCAGGAGGCACACGAGCAGTGGCGGTCCTTCCTACAGGCGACGTAGGCGCTTGCCGAGGGCGCCACCTAGTGAGGGGCGGCAAATATGTGGCGAGAAAAAAGTTATAATTAAAATGATAATGTGTATTTATGTGTTCAACAGTTTTTGCGATCCCTCTATCTACAACAACACGGTGACATAAAACATAAATTAAACTTCAGTAAAAGAAACGATTCTGACCTTTGACCTTTAGCTGTTACACGTCACAGTCACAACATGCTGCGCACTCTGACGCACAGTCGGTCGGTCGGCTGTGTGTCGACGGGTTACTATGGTTACTATGGTTACAGCTACAGTCCATGGAAAATGAAACGACCATCCGGGGTGCAGTTTGGAAAGTGCAGAAAAGAAGAGCAGGAGAAACGTACAGAAGAGAGAAAGGTTCATAATGTTGATTATATATTTATTTATTATATATTTATTGATTATATATTTATTTATTATATGTTTATTTATTATATGTTTATTTATTATATATGTATTTATTATATATTTATTTATTATATATTTATTTATTATATGTTTATTTATTTTATATTTATTATATATTTATTTATTATATATTTATTTATTATACATTTATTGATTATATGTTTATTTATTATGTTTATTTATTATATATTTATTTATTATATGTTTATTTATTATATATGTATTTATTATATATTTATTTATTATATATTTATTTATTATATGTTTATTTATTATATGTTTATTTATTATATATTTATTATATATGTATTTATTATATGTTTATTTATTATATGTTTATTTATTACATATTTATTTATTATATGTTTATTTATTATATGTTTATTTATTATATATTTATTTATTATATGTTCATTTATTATATTTATTTATTATATATTTATTTATATTATATTTATTATATATTTATTGATTATATATTTATTGATTATATGTTTATTTATTATGTTTATTTATTATATATTTATTTATTATATGTTTATTTATTACATATTTATTTATTATATATTTATTTATTGTATATTTATTTTTTATATATTTATTATATATATATTTATTTATTATATGTTTATTTATTATATGTTTATGTATTATATGTTTATTTATTATATGTTTATTTATTATATATTTATTATTATTAACATGCAGTCATAATGAGACTGTCATAAGACTGGTTCAGACTGCTGGCCTGCATTGGCCTGGGTTGGCCTGCGTTGGCCTGGGTTGGCCTGGGTTGGCCTGGGTTGGCCTAGCTGCAGTATAAAGCGTTAGCACTTCGTGTGCTCTGACATTAAACTGAGTGGATGTGAAGAGTCTATTATTTCTGTCCATACAGCAACATTAGATTAGATCCAGTTTGGATTAGTTTTAACTTTACTGTGAAGTTCAAGTCCCGTGAAATACAGTTTTACATCCAACCAGAGAGCAGACTCGTGCTGAGTGAGTCAGTGCCTCATGTGCAGAGGAGGATATCAACATGTGGACTTTATAGAGCGAGGTGATAAAGATGAGCGTATACACTGATGACCACAGATAAGTATCTATTATATATTATATAATGATATATACAGGTAGAGTATGTTTATGCAGAGAGCTGTGAGCAGATGGGACTGAGGCTGAGTCCTGTATCACTCACTCCTCCCTATATCGTCCACTGTGTGGGACTCTATGTAGAGACTAGGGATTAAACTGCTTAGCAACTGAATAATAATATGAGTTACTGATACACTGGTTTGTTATAATAATATATGATTTAATAAATATTTGGGACCACCTGCAGCTGAATCATCAGACCAGGAACCGCCATGAGCCTCAGTTCAAACTCCTGAAAACAACCTCAGATCCACCATGGCTCAAGATCAGTGGTGTGGCCACAATCAGTATCAACCTTGAGGTTGGTGTAGTGTAGTACTCGAGACCGGTCCAGACCATTTGTTGAGGTTCTTGGTCTTATCTCGGTCTCGGACTGGGCGGGTTCGGGTTTTTTTAACGAGACCGGTCGAGACCACCGTCAGTCTGCCGAACTACTGCGGTCAATCCAGCCGTGAGTTCGATCCCCGTGGTCAATCTAGCCACACGTAAATTTAGAGTGTACAAGCATTCTCAGCATTACGGTAAATGCGGAGAAACAGCTATTCACTTCCGGTTTTCAAAATAAAGATATTGTGAACATTAAGCTATAATTCGAACCTACATTTAAAATAAAATATGTTACATTAAAGTGTTTCATGCAACCCTGATGAATAAAAACACTTTATATCGAGTATCTTTACTGCGCCAGTGTGGAGAAATGCCAAAATAAAAGTCCCATATTTATGCCTCCAGAGATTGCATATTTGACCATATTTGAGCTACTGTAAAAACATATTGCTCAATATTTCCTGGCTATGGATGGTATATTTGACTTTTACACATTTGAGACTACAAGCTGACTTGTTTCCTATAACTTTCCTTAATCACATGTCTGCCTTGTGTCCCCTCTCAGCAAGTATTTGAGAGACAAATATTGAAAGGCTTTCAATGTAGCATACGTCATCATTCTTGATAATAGGCGTCCTCATTGGACATACTTGTGTTCTCTCACTATAAGCTCCTCCAGAGGAATCCTCTGTCCTCGTCTCAGTTACTGGAATATCTTCTGTGATGGCTAAAGGAAACCAATTGCCAGGTGACCAGGTGAAGAGGAGAGAGGAGGCAAACAACTGCAAGTCAGCATGTCTAAA